CAAAAATCATTGAAGCGGAACGAAATTCAAACTTGGTCTGTAACTCATCAAAATACACTCACATACCAAAAATCAGCTCAATATCTGCAAGCGTTTAGGGAAAAAGTGCGGAAAACCAAGTGGGACAGACTGACAGACAGACAGAGGGACAGACAGACAGACAGACGGACAGACAGACAGACAGACAGACGGACGGACAGACGGACGGACAGACTCAGAGGAAACCTATAGTCCCCTCCGGTTTCACCGGTAGGGGACTAATAAAATGTTTTTAAATAAAAGCATTAAAAAAAATAAATGCAACTTTTATACATGCATAAATAAAAGTTTATTTAAAAGCATCATATTACTACGTAAGCCGGTATATTGTAGGTGCAAGGTAAGAAAAATATTTTATCTGGCGGCCGCCACATAATTATTCGGCGGCCGCTAGAAAAATATATCTGGCGACTGCCAAATAGTTCTCCTGCGGCCACCACATAAATAACTGGCGGCGACCAGAAACTTATCGCTACATAAATAACTAGAAGCCGTGAGGTACAGACATGTAATCTTAATAAAAATAGATTTAAAGTTATGAGGTGAAGCCCTTTTATGAAGTGATTTTTTTATAAAGTGTAGATTTGATTTTTGCTAATAAGGCATGAAACTCCCAGATTTGACTACAAACAGAAGTTCTAGATGTCGTTTAAGGCAGAGATTTTAAGCACGGCCATCAAATATACCTGGTCTGTGTACCTCTGTTAATCAAGTGCATTAAGGCAAATCATTGGGTGATACAACTCGATTGGCAAAAACACTACAATTTATCTGGCGGCCACCAGATATTTCAGTTGCAGGCGCTAGAATCTTATCTGGCGGCCGCCAGATAATATATTTTTTTTACCTAGCACCTATCGGCTTCAGTATATTGCAATGTATTTGATAATATGAATAATACTAATTACAGTCAAAAATATTTTATCATGATACCTAATATGTGAATAGCAAAATGATGGAAAAATCTATAATACATTCAGTGTTTCCTTTTCATTATGAAAATTCGAAGTATTTGCCCACATAGATTTGCATTATATTTTCAGCATAACTGAGAGAATCCCAGCCAGGACTAATTTCCTCTCGCTTCCCAACTCTCCATAGATACTTAAGTTGCGTCACCAACCCTAGTCACACCTCGTTTAGAGAGTTTTAGAATTCATTATATATATGATTTGCTAGACCAGAGTTCGAAATACATGTGTAAACGCCATAGATATGTGTAATCCTTAATCAGGCAGACATATGGGCTTAGACATCCAGACTTAAAAAGTCCACGTTCCCTATATCAACCACATGGAAATATATGGGCGCTTCTTTAGCATGTTGGAGCGTGGATTTCTATATACAAGAAAGTCAAAAATATACCTGTGTATGATAAATAACGTTAAGGAATGGACTTGCTCTAAAACTTATTTTTTGTACAGTCAGTCGGAAAATGTAAGAAAGATCCAGCATCTGAACCATGTCTGGTAGTGTGCAATCCTAGATGCATCATCAGTGCAAGTTTGGTCACGATAGGGCTTATAGTTACATAAGAATGAGACCCCTTCAAAATCTTTAACCTGCTCACTCATTAAGGTAATATAGGTCATATCCACCATCTGAAGCAAGTCTAGTAGTGTGCATCCGTAGATGCATCATGAAGCAAGTCTGGTCAACAAGAGCTTACAGCTGCTCTGCTCCAAAAACTTAAACCTGCTTTTAAAACATTTACCTGGACATTCTTTGGCTAAAAATCCAGCATCTGAAACCTGACTGGTGACAAGAAAACACGCTAGATCAGATGACTCTTGTTTAATATAGGGCATAGATATACTTGAAAAAAAAATCTGCTTCAAAAACTTTTATCTGCAACACCGATGCCGACGGTATCACAAAAGCTCCCCCAACTTGTAGGAGGTGCGCTAAAAATGTGACGCTAACGTTATACGTTGGCGACAAAAAAGCATCGAAATGAAGATAGGATACGATAATGTTTTCTATTGTTAATATAATCGAGAATCTTCCTTGATTTAAAAACAATATGCTGCTTTTGGCTTAGTATTCTAATACAAAGTCAGATCAAGAAACCAGGAGCTTCTAATTTTAGATATGCAAATTTTATGCAATTTTCAATTTTTGGATATGAAGTGCACACGCGACACTCATCATATTTCAAAAAAAAAATAGTGTGCAGAGTATATCTAATTACTTGACAAATTAGGTGAGTGTCCCTCATGCACTTCATATTCTAAACATCGATTTATAAATGCCACCATCTTATATTTTCCCATAAGCCTAATGTTAACGGATCTGAGGGTACATCTAAGTATGTATCAGCTACGGTGTGAAATCATCTCATATTAACTTTTGAAATATAAATAACAAAAATTTACATATTTATCTTGAATGCTAAACTAGTTTTAAAAATATAGATTGAAATTTATTTTTATGAAAAAAAGTGGGCCGCTGAGCGGCCTTATCGAAACTTCCCCTTTGAAAAACACATGAAAAGTTGGATATAGATATTAAATTGTATAACGGAAATAACAACTAAAAAAATTCATTTTTATTCAAATAATGAAAATAAAATATAATTAAAAAATAAATAAATAAATAAAATAAAAATGGTTTTAAGTTTCTATAATTTATTTTAAATTTTGGTGGCCCCATCATAACACATGTTCCCTATGTTAACTTTTTTTTTAAATATAGCATTCAGGGAACGCGCCCCTCTACCGTGGTCAGTGGCCATGTACGAGACCCCATCTGATGACTAACCCCACTCGAATTTAAACACATAAAGGATATCTTTACCCTTACTCTTGAAAGTAGAATGTTCTGAGATCGTTACAATCTAATGACGTATTAAAAAAAAATACCAAACTGATTTGATTTGAAGCATTGTGATTTTTTTTTCTTTCTTTTTTTGACAGTGTAAATAAATTTGTGTGGAATTTAAACTATCATTCACAAGATTGTTAAAATATTTATAATACATTGCACTATGAATCAATTAGTACGCTTTCCTGAACGACTCATCTTGCAAGAATATTCCAGATCACAACGTCCTTTTTTAGATTATTTTTTAATTTAGTTGTAAAGCTTAAGGTCAAGTGATAAATCAATTGAAGCAATTAGTAAGAGGAAATAATTCTAAAAGTATTTAAGAAATAAAGTCAAATAATATAGATTTTTGGACATAAATTTGGATGGTTTACATCCCACTTCTCAGGAATTTTTAATGTTTTTCCTTATCCATAGAAGCAATACACCAAAGCTGTTAGAAAATTTGTTGTGAAAATTTAGAGAAGAGTTTGAAAATGTTAAAAAAAACACATGACACACATCGCATTAAATAAAAAACTATTCCAAAATAAGTTGATTACGGAAAAAAGGATACACTTGATTTTATCACAATCAAAGATTTCATGGGTTTTCCATGAAGAAAGCTATTTCCTCTTCATCTTTCTAGTGAATCGGCCATTAGTGATTTACTTGCCATTCATCTTAACAGTTAACTATGATAAAAAGCTAAATGCTAATTTTGATGGAGAAATATTTTGTATTCCTAATTTATGATGTATTTTTTTATGTTCTGGCAAGATTTGTCAAGTGGAAGAAAAGTAAAAGAGGAAGTCAGTCGATACCGCATCATTGGAGAAATAATAAACACATCAATGTTATTTTTCATGATTGGGTAAATGGAGTAATCCGGAGACAATTCAGAATGTAAATAATGGCCGAACAATTTGTATTAAAACGTCACTCAACGTTCAACCTAACGACAGGTTGTAATTGCCCCCCTCCCCTAACTAATAAAAATATAAGGAGTCTTTATTTTCTCGAAAATATGTGATTTCTCCGTCAATTCTATCTGTAGTCATTCTGTGCAATTGGTTTGTACTTTTGTTAAGGTTTAAAAATTGGCCGTATACAGTATAATAAAAATATTGTTTATTATACCGTATATGACCAATTTTTAAACCTTAACAAAAGTACAAACCAATTGCACAGAATGACATACAGATAGATAGAATTGACGGAGAAATCACATATTTTCGAGAAAATAAAGACTCCTTACATTTTATTAGTTGGGGGGGGGGGGGGATCCACGCTTCAAGTGCCTGTGTTTTAAACGAGATTGTTAATACCTTCGTATCATCATTTTTATTCAGTAGGCTGCCTCGATCTAGGTATTATTCATACGTAGAACATGGCTCTTGCGTATCAAATTAACTGGGAGCCATAAACATTATTTGCAAGTGATCTTGGTATATTACTACCTACATAAAGGAAGTTGACAATTAAAAAAAGTTGAAGTCATCACCTTCATCATAAAGTTTATTTGTTAGTTTGCTATTGATGCCTTTCTATAGAGAATCATCTGAATATGTAACAAGTGTCAGGCTCTGAGGCTTCTTTCACTAGTATTTCATATTGAATCAATGTAGGAATGAAAAAGGAGAATTGTTAATTGATAAAATGTCATCGATATATATATTACCAGGTCGAATTAAAGGACAAAGCAGGAGACTTCTTCTTTTCACGTAGAATTTTTTTTTAAGTAAGTTCTGCTTCATTAGAATACAATACAGGTATGCTGATAAAGGGGCACAGTAAGCACCCATGGCAATTCCAAAAGATTGTTGGTCCTTTGTTGGAAGACCTGCTTTACAAAAGGGAAAAAAGATTGGGACACACAGAAGGATTTTTTCAGATGGTCGTTGTATAGAAAAAAGCAAGCATTGGACTCTTAGGGATAAAATACAATACTACTTGTACATGTATTTTCAAATTAATTTTTACACCTGTTCCTCTACTTAGTTCAAATTTAATACTTCTTTCCTTCAGCCTGTCCTATGATATAATTGAACATGGTTTATAAATGAGAGGATGCATTAAAGTAACTTTTGCAGTCCATTTTTTTCTGAGAATAGTCTAGAATATAGACTCCATAACCAATAGAATTACAATGTATATGGCTTTAACTGTTTATTTTCCCATCAATGTTTAAAAAGCTTTTTTGGATGTAAGCATACTAAATAATGTGCTTTGACATAAGTTGTAAACAAGCATTAATATTTGCAGTTACTGAAGAAAATAACTGAAGAATGTACATAAATAAGAATGTTCATCTCATGCCCTTCACAATCTGTTCATTTTTTCTTCCTTTGTCATCAACACTCTACAAAGTTTCAATTTTCTCAGATAGATACAATTCAGTATTAAATGGGATAGTGATGTCATCAGTTCCTTTGGCTAAGCTATGTGTATCCATAATGTCTTCCATCTCATTTCTGACTTTCAATTTCTCGTTTTCATCAAGGGAGGCAATGACACTTATGGAGCAGAAATGTCCAATTACATCATCTCGACACCCCTAAAATTTTTCAGCATTAAACTGTTTTTGGTTGATTTATTCTATATTAATTCATAATTTCATAACAATTAAATTATTATTTTACTATATTTCAAAATGCAGACAAAACATTCAAAATGTTAAGATGAACTACATGTATTTACATGTCTATACAAGTATATGCACGATTCTCAGGTTTTGACTCAGAGAAAAAGGAAATTAACATCTTAAAAAATCCTAAATTCATTTCAATGTAGTAATTAAGAACCATTTGTTTTGTGAGCTAAGACAAATCCATCTATTATCTCACCTTTAATACTGTGCCAGGGAGGATTTCGTGTTGAACACATCGGAAATGAGAACATTTTTCTATCACTTCCTTCCATTGGTAAGATATAGCTCGTGGTGTGTCACCATAGTAACGTGTCAGGATTTTCTCAATGTCTTTCACCCATGGGACATTCCAGTCTTTATTATTCCATACCATTACTGTTTAAAAATTGAGAAGGGACTCTGACCTTAATTTTATCATAATATACTACATGTTTATAATAGTGCATAGTTTGGCATGAAGTATCAATATCTTTTGATATCGCTAAAATATATGTAAAGCTCTTGATCAACTATAAATTCATGTTCTCACGATTTGACATCTTCCAGTCCTTACATACTCATAAAGATAAAAAATCTACAGTACAAACCTGAATAATGAGTTTAGATTTAAATAGTTCACTCAAGTGAAGCTGAATAAGAACTGAATAACAAACTTTCTTTTGCAGATGACATTATAAATGACTTATCTAATTAATGATTTCTGAGCACTACATTGATATGTTATACAACTGTAATGTTCCTACAGAATTTTCCGCCTGGTATAAGTATCCTATTTATTTCATCTAATGAGGTCATATTAGCAAACCAATGGAAACACTGTGCTGCTATTACAGTCTGAAATAGATAAAAATACATACAATCAGCATCATAATTCACAAACTTTACAGATCATCTAATTTGCAGATAAAAACTACCTTCACAGTTTCAGAGGGAACTGGAATTTTTTCTGCACTGCATATTTGAGTGTCTATTCCTGGGCAATTCTTTTTTAGCGTCTTTTGAAACCCATCCATAGGCTCTGTAGCAAGGTATTTTTTGACCTGAAAAGAATTCAGAAAAAAAAATCTGCATAATCTTAAAATTAAAATGTTAAGTCCTCTTCAAAGTAAACATTTCTCAAATTCCTTGCTGAAGAACATGTAGATATACTCTTTGTTTTGTTAAATACTTGTATGTAATATTCTTTTCTCTTCTGATAATAGAACTGTGCTGCATTTCAAAAACAACTGTACCTTTGGTAATTCTTTAATAAGTTTCTGTGTCATCTTTCCCGTTCCTGCTCCAAGTTCAACACAATCATACTTTAAATTGTTTTCTGTAATTCAAACAAAGATTTTTATTACAATACAAATTAAACTACGTGATATGTATACAGTAGTGGAATGATTACAGATTGTCTTTTAAGAAAGTATCGATAAAGTTAAATATTGAAATTCTTAATATTAAGTCATTCATGAAAATAAAATATAAAATAATTAAACGACAAAAGTTTCATTAAAATGAAAAAAGAAATATGAAGAAATAAGGACTTACGTAAAATATAGGTTCCAGTACAGAAATATACAATTAAAAATGGGTGATTGACTGCAGAACAAAAATTATAGAATGTTACCTTTATCTGTTTGAGTTTCTGTGATGATCGAGGCAATCAACTTCACAACTTTGTCTGTGTATGAAGGGCGGAATCTGTCATAATTTTCTCCCTGCAGTGTAATGTTTTGTTCCTTAAACAACATTTCTTAACTCCTAATGAGTACTGTACAGCAAAACATGCTTAAAGTGAACACACTTAATGAATTGACGCTTACAGTAAAGTGATTTTCATTTACCGTGGCTTTAATATATTGTAAACTAAGCGGATATAACGAATTACATTTATAAAAAAGCAAAATCCTCCGTCCATGGGACTTTGTTCTAACGTTACTGTATATCCTTATATCTTCTGCTGAGGGTCACCTAAGACCAATTGCTTCAAATTACTAATACATTTAGTACTTTGAGTCCTGTTGCTAACTTTTCATATTACAAGCTAGATTGTTTTTGCTATATTAATCCCTTAACATTATTTTGTCAAATGTGTGCAGTTATTAAGGCAGACATTCAAAATAAAACAGTTAATTGATCTCATTGAAAACAAATATTTAGGAATACATTCATTTCAAAAATTCATAGAAGAGTTATTTCTTTTATAAACTTGTTATTAAAATGCACATTGGTGACAAAAGATAAGCATTGGAGAGTTTCATGTAAGAAATACAAGATATCCATTGAGAACACTACTATAACTACAATTTTCTAATCATTATCTCTGTGTATGAAGTTGATAAAAACATCAGCAGCAGCTTCTTTGATGTAACAACATTTTAGGAGGAAGGAATGTGATTGTCCGAAGCATAAATATTCATCAAATAGAGTGCCTATTTAGAGTTCAGAGGATTTGGGTTCGAATCCAGGTCTGGGGCCCGTTTTACAAAAGAACTTATGACTAAGACCAAAATTTATATCTGCTAAATAATAACTTTCTAATTAACATTAAATAGAAAATGGTTTTAATATTTTTAAAAGGTTACATAGAAAGATACTTTTACTCTAGCAATTTTAAACAGAATAATTAATTTTGCAAAATTTTACAATCAACTAAAGTTTTTGGTCTTTAGTTGTAGGTTCTTTTGTAAATTAAACGGGCCCCTGGTCTGTTGCATTTTCTATCTAATTCTTGTTACCAGGTTACACTCTCAGGTCTATAAATATGTATACATGTATGTGCTTAATTAATGCTATTAAAATGTATAGAAAATAGAATAGCATTCATTTCCAAATCAGGACCCGAATAAACATACAACATATATAATTAGAGATAATGCATTGAAATGTTTCTTTAAATAGAACTAGGCTATAACTCAGACAGCTGTCAAAGTGTGACTATCTGTATGAGCAAATGAGATCCTTACATCAGGGACCTATATAATAACGTTAGTATATAGGTCCCTGCTTACATCAACAAATCCCGATTTCGCCTTGTCGTGAACAGCATTTGTCATGTTCCAGAAAATGCTTGGGTGAGTGAATCGAATATTCTCAATTTGTTTATAACTGTGAAGCAAAATCAGTCGGAGTCTACATAGCATACTGCATAGTACTACGTGTGTCTCACGTGGCAAAATAAATCGGGCTCGAGATACAAAGCAAGGGTTGACAATAAACATTGGCCATTATTAGCCTAGGAAAGTAGTTTTGGTTTATTAATTGGTAGGTAACTTTTTTTAAAGCTATGAAAGTTACTATTTATTATAAATTTACTTAATTACTGAGTACCTTCGTGCTAATATTTTTATATTTAAAGACTTTTTTACAGTAGGATAACAAGTCTGAACATTATTAGGCGAAGTCAAAGTAGAGTGAAAGTTTTGCATTTATACTGACCTGTCTTACTAATAAGTTTAGATAAGTGATTTAATTATTTTATTTTGTTTTATTTTAAATATATATTATACATTCACTCACAAAAATATTTTTTTCAGAAGTCCCTCTATAAACAGAACATTTTGAATATATAATATTTCTCCAAACAACACATTTTATAATATTATGTAAGAGGTAATAACATGTTATGGGTCATCGATCATACCTCTGTTCCAACATGATATAAATTTTTGCTTCAACACTAAAACTTTTCCAAAAAAAAAAAATTCAATTCATTTTTTAAAAAGCAAACAATCTCAGCATACTTTGTAGGGGAAAATTTGAAAAGTTTTAACAAATTTTATGAAGAAATAAAAGTCATCTATCCCAGGGAGAGTTATATCTCTTATCAGAGGGCCAATGAACCTTAAATGTTGAGGTAAGTTAAGTAGTTTGCAATTCATTGGACAAATTAAGACAAAGTTGGAATTTCTGTGTCATGGCCCCGAAACATCTTAAGCTTAAGTCAAAATCTTTACGTTGTACTAAAATGTTGTAAAAGTCAAGCAGACCAAAATTAAAATATTTTTCGATGTTGCTATACAAAAGTGCTGTTATCTGCAAATTTAGAGATCAATTCAATGATTAATAAATATTTTACAGGCAATTGAAAATTTGGGGGGCTGAGGCATTCAAAACATCTGTTAGTAGCTTAATACATGTATCTACAATGTAGCTAGCATTGAGGACTGAGGCATTTAACACAACTGTAGCCTAATAATTATACCCTGGCCTGCACAGTCATAGAAAAAAAATAAAATAATGGGATAAAATAAAATTATGTCTGTCTCACTTCTGCTCTACCTCCTCATTTTTAAAGATGGCAAATAATTTTTAACCTGCCTCAAATGAAAATATCATTCATCATTTTCAAACCAATTATTAATTGGATACATACAACATGAAACAAACCAGTGTGATAGTAGTACAGGGTTCGACATTAACGTTAATCCGTTAGTCTCAGACTAATACATTTTCATTCGGACATATAAAATCTGTAGCTAATTAGTCCGAATGGACTAATAAAAATTTCTGGAAAAAAATAATAAATTACCGATGTTCGATTCTGAACAACTTTCACTGAGAAACCCCGCATGTATTTTTAGCTTTCTAGCTTCTTGGCGTGAAGTTAGGTACATGTATCATTTCGAGTCAATTCAGTGCTTGATTTTAGGACTGATTGGTATGAAATTAAACATTTTAGCGATCATAATTTAGTATGACACATAAAGAAAGGATGTAATGACAAATGTATAGAGAAACCAGAAGTCTCTGATGAGACTGTAGCTCTACTGGTCTGTACGTATAACAAAGTAGCACTTGGATTTGCAACATGCATTAATAAATAGAATTATGTATCTTAATGTAGTTTACTTCTGTGCCAAGTTATATTGAAATCAAACGAAAACTGTAGGAGGAGTAGAGTTTTGAAAGTATTTCACAGAAATTTCTACTTTTGGTAACCACATCAAAAACCGAAATGCATATTATGTATCGTAGTGTATTCTAATTGTGTACCAAATTAGATTGAAATCAGACCAATACTGTAGGAGGAGTAACGTTTTAAAGGGATTTCACAGAAATTTCTTTTTTTTAGTAACCATGGCAACACTGTTCATCGAAATCAAAAACTGATGCATGAAATTATGTATCTTAGTATAGTCTTCTTGTATGCCAAATTATATTAAAAGCAGACTAAAATTGTAGCAGGAGTAGCGTTTTTAAGATAATTTCACAGAAATTTCTATTTTTAGTAACCGTGGCAACACCATTCATCGAAATCAAAAACCGATGCACTAAATTATGTATCTTAGTGTAGCCTACTTGTGTGCCAAGTTATATTGAAATCAGACCAAAACTGTAGGAGGAGTAGGATTTTGAAAAATTGTTTACAGACAGACAGACGGACGACGGACACCTTACTATTGCATAAACTCTTCTGGTCTCTGACCATAAGAGCTAAAAACGAACAAGATGGGGAACAAGATCGTAGTTTCTGATCGCGAGATTTCAACGAATCTTGGAATTAAACATTTCACGTATTTAATGCTTTTTTATTAAAAAAAGTATGAAAAGTACATTGCAATGTTTATTTTTAAATTAAACCTTACAAAACATTGATTTTTTTTTTGACAGACTCATAAAATCGTGTGTTGACTAGTAAAAGTAAAGAAGCACTAGTCCGGCCGGACTAAAGCCTAAAAATGTTAGTGTCGAACCCTGTAGTAGATAATTATGGAAAATTTATCTTGTCTTACTCTATTAATGTCATTCACATGGAGGAGGTGTCATTATTATCAGAACTAGATCCTTTTCCAAAGTTGGTGCCATTTTCACATTGTTAAGTCCCTAGTATGGACTTTAAATTTCTGCTTTTCCAGTACACATTTTGAAATGTAGGGATCATTTCAAAGCAGATAGAAAGTTTGGGGGAAAAATTACTTATCACGGTATTGTGATGATATAAAAATTTCAGTTTTTAATATTTGAAACTGTTTTTATAGTTATATAGTAGATTAAGATGTAAACTAAAATTTATGTTATTAGATATGAGTAGGATGCACAAATCAGTCCTGTACTGTCGATGTCACCCAGTCAGTCGTGTTATTTAATTACATCATTATGATCTGTGATGCATGTATCAGCTCATATATGGTTGCCTCATATGAATGATGTAAAAATTATGTTATTAACATGAATAAGATGCATTAAAGAGTCATTTATTTATTGTCACTAATACAGCCAGTGTAGTTGTGTCGTATATTATCATGATTATTATATGATGTTGTCTGTGATATCACAGTGCAGTCAGAAAAGCCCCCATGTACTTATGACTGCATCATTTAAATTATTTGTTTACCTATGTTCTCTGCAGAATATATACAATGTATATATTGTAGATCACTTAATTTTCTCAACAAACTATTTTTATGAAATAGGTACAATGTACCTGTGTATTTGGTATATATGTTATTGTATATGATGTATGCGGAGCATGTATATGTCCATGAGTATTATATGTACTAATATATGTACTTCTTTGTATCTGTCCATCAGCCTTCAAGAATTAAGGTGTGTACAAATACATGACAAGGTCACATCATTTTCCCCTTTGAAGCTGAGATAATACTTTAACATGATTATAGGTACTTCTTACAGTGCTCAAAGGAATAAAAAATGTTTTCATTTAAAGTTACACATAATAAATAACCACAGCTATTGAAAGGTACATAAAAATTTTACTTCACAAACCCCAAAAGTTTTATATTGTTTTTCACTGAAGCATGACCAGGTATATATTCCATTACCTGGATCTACCTATGCAGGTAACCGATGTATCACCTATGTTGATGAAATGTTCAACAGATATGGAGATAATTCTCTATTCCTTAGGCATTCATGCTTTGAAATGAGCTCCTGGCTTAGTGTATTGCCATGCATGATTTGAGACTCTATATTTAGTTTTCTCTTTTTCAGGTGTTTAAACTGTTAGATCAATCTAAGTAAACAAAGTCTCAATATTGTTCATGTTGACGTTTAAACTCTGACGTAAAGGAAGCGGGGGAGAGAGGAGCCGCCAAGATAAGAGAAATCGTAAGTATAATAGAAAAAGGGATTTAAAGGGGTGCACCAAAGGTTTTGTAGAAATAAGGTTATGCAAAATCTGTTTGCTTCTGTGTCTTTAACTGTGTTTGAATTACCCAAATCTTAGTTAAAGATTGTCTGAGGAAATAGTCTATTAATTTCATGAAGACAATTCTTAGTTAACACATGCTGTAATTCTGAACCATTTTCTTACCTTTGGGAACCTTTTAGGTATTTAAATTTGTGCACATTAGAAAAATAAATGACAATGTAAGAGTAAAGATTTGTGTTCTCAGTGTTTCGACCTTTTATGAAATGAAGTTTATTGGATGACAGTCTTCTTTATTTGAGTGCCACGTCTGCATGGGAAACTAAACAGTAGTTAGAACTGAACTACAGTCAGAGTATTTAAAAGAGCTTGCTTAGTGTTTTTAGAGTAAATTATTCTATATTTGTGAAATTTCTGTGATTCTGAGTGGTAATAATTTTTTTCGGTCCATTTACCATATGGAAAAATTAAAATGCGGATCAGTTGACAAAAATGTTCAATCAGGATTCAGGTACAATTGCAGTGAAAAATCAAAATATATTAATAAAACATGGAGTGTATATTTGTCCAAGATAAAAAAAAATTGAATAGCTTAATTTTTAATATACCAATAGTACATGTATGTAATTTGATATTTAATCTTAATTTATATTTTTTAATTTCTAGTACAATAATTACATATTTTGATGCTTTTGAATTTTTTTTTTTCAAATGAAAAAAGTGCAAGGAAGCTTTAGTAAATTTTTTTTAAGATATTGTTTTGAAATGTGTTCCCTTTATGTCACAGGATGTTTGTGAGAGTAATGTGGGTCCTTCTCTTGCTGGGACTGATGGTCAGTTCGGCACTTCCTGTCACATCAGAGGAGGAGGAACCCGATTATCTCAATCTTTTCTTAGTGAAGGTTCACAAAAGATCGGCCATCCATGACCTGGCAGCTGAGCATGGGTTCAAGGTCACAGATGAGGTTTGTGACTACATCCACACATGTGTATATACTTAATAGAAAACAGATAAATGTCTGCAAAACAGTATTCTCATTTTGCTGACTTTGTGATGTTTATTATATCCCTGCTCAAAAACAGAGGGGGGTATACTGTTTTACCCTTGTGTGTCTGTCTCTGTGTCTGTCCGTAACAAAATTTTGTCGCAGTTTTCTCAGCAACTACTCATCACAGATGATTGAAATTTTAGCACACTCTTTGTTTAGGCATGCCATCTGGTGGGATTCATTTTTGTTCAAATCATATGTCATCTTCCAGTTTATTCATGTGTCTGTCTGTACCAAATTTCCGTCACAGTTTTCTCAGCAACAGCTCAACACTGATGCCTGAAATTTTAGCACAATATTTGTTCAGGCATGCCAAATGGTGGGATTCATTTTTGTATGAATCCAATGTCAACATCAGAGTGTATATTTTATCATAGAGGGGGTATTACTAGTGAGCATTTGCTCACAGACTTTCTTGTTTTTTTCACTTCTATATTTAAGACACCTATTTTCAGATAGAAGAATAAGGTAAAAAAAATTAATTTGTAATGAATGGAATCCAAAATGCTGAGAAAAAATGTCTGTTGTAAAGCATTAAATACATTTTGGAATAGTCAAAAGAAAAAAAAATCCATTTATCAATCAAATTTAAAATGATAACAGAAGATATATCCTGTTCCATGATCAATGATTGGTAAATAATTTTAACTCTGTCATGTCATTAAAGTAATTGACTTTTAAAACAGGATATAATTTGTTATTTTTTTTATTTTTCAATGGGGTATATTTCTGTCCCACTTACAAATTACTTCAGTCTTGCTTGCTGACAAAATTTTCTTACATAACAAAAGTACTATAATAGATTAAGGATGCAAAGGTTTGCCAAAAATAAGATAAACTTGTGGTTTAGACCATTTCTTTTGACAATAGATATTATTTAGTTGCAAATAAGCTTGAATTGAAGTACATTTTACCCATAAGCATTTTCTGACTGATATTTTCTAATTTAGATTTTTAAATTAAAACACTGTGTTTTGAGTACAGTACTAAAGTAGACCTTTGTTTATAATGCCATACTATTATTGCTTTTAGCTAGAAGAACTGGGATATCACCTACTGGAACATGAAGACGTGTCACGGAGATCTAAAAGAAGTGCCGAGAATCATGTTAAAAAACTACAGGATGATGCAAGGGTAAGATGATCGGCCATCTGTAATTCTGATTTAACACTTATAAATGATACAGAGTAGTATTCAAGTTACTGTAGATTCCTCAATGTCAAATCGCTAGGATATTATTTTGCAAATATATGGTTCATCAAGAGCTTTTACATGTATCTTAGCAATATAAGAATAAAAGTGAGGGATTTTAAATTGCAAGATGCGAAATCGCACGAAAATAAATCCTCGCATATATTTAGGAATCTACAGTATACATGTACTTAATCATCTTCTTTGAAAAATGGTAGTCATACCTTCTTGCTTAATTCATCCACCAAATAGTATGTAGAATTTCTTAACGAAGAAAATAAAGACCTTATATAAATTTTAAATTATTTAATTTAAATAAACAAAATGAATATTTTTACAGGTTAAGTTTGTACAGCAACAGAAACTGCTGATTCGAGAGAAAAGAGAAATCTTGTATGACAAACAGCTAGAAATGCCGGAGCGCAACTTTGACCCCACAGAATTTTACCGTGCCCCCCAGTCACACCTGTACAGTAGGGACTTTACCAGCACTCAGGGAGTGTCCTTTAATGACCCGTACTATAAAGACCAGTGGTACTGTGTAAGTGGTTCAAGAAATCTCACATGTATTTATATAAAGATTTTCATTAGTGAAGTATTTGAGAATATTTCATGTAGATGCTGATTTACTTTAAAAATTAAGTAACTCAATATTTATTTGGATTTCTTTTACTGTATACATCCATTTTTGATGTTGATTAAGAAGCACATTGCAAAAAAAACTATACATTTGGAGGTTGTTTCCACAGTGCCAAAATAATGTATTGTTAATAACGGGTGATATTTACATGTATACGGTGTTGCGGGTTCTTCCCTAATGTTTTCCAAATAATAAAAACTCAAAACGTTTTCACATTTATCTAGTTAATTAATGGTACATGGTATTCTGGCTCTCGTCCATCCACTTCACAACGGTGAATTTCTACATTACACCATACTCCGTACACTGTGCACCATACACTGTACACCATACACCATACAAAGTAGAATGTGGGACGGGACCTGCATGACACAACAATAATAAACACATTAAGTTACACATTTATACAAAAAGCTAAATACAAGTTATGACCCACATAACCCACCATACACAATAATGGGACAATAATGTGGTGAACATCACAGCGCTGCATTACAGAACTTGCATTAAATGCGTTTACCCAATAATTACATTATTTTACATGTAACTTAAACGTACACACAGTAACTTTACTTACATAGTTACTTTACTGTTTAGAATCATAATGAAACTAAATACTGAAACACTAGAGCCGATATTATCAATTAATTAATACTACTCACTATAATATTTATAGAACATACAGACTATACAAACGAACGAACATTCAAACAAAACTAACTAAAATTAAAATACGTTGAAATAACAATTAGTTATCCCAGGACCGTAAAATTAACAAAACAGAGAAGAAAATGTACATTAAACATGTTATTCACCTCAGAAGTCAGTGTCTGTAACTATACTTCATTCAGAGCCCGTGCAGCTATGTGTCCGAAAGCCGGTTTTTCGAAGGGCGGAAGCCTAAACTCAGGTGAATAAATACAGGTAATGGAGAGGTACCATAAAGGGTATTCGAATAAGAGGTCCAGAATAGGATAACTGAAAGATACTACGGAACAAAGTTAGCTCAATAATTACAATAAATTTAAAATACTTTACAAGACAAATAAACTATACAACACCGTAAATGTGACATACGGAAGCTTTTTTAACAAATCTTTAACACAAATTACACCAATATATAAAGTGTTCCATTGCTTTATTAAAGTAATTGCTTTCAGGACAATTATGGGCAGTCAGGTGGAAAGAAATTTATTGACCTCAATGTCAAGGTCGCCTGGAACCAAGGATACACTGGTAAAGGGGTCACGATCACTGTGTTGGACGATGGAATGGATCACACGCACCCGGATCTTCAAAAAAACTATGTGAGTCTTAATTATTACAGAGGAGAAATCTTTTCAGACTGGGTATATATTGAGAGAGAATTTTTTGAGAATTTGTGGGCATTGTATAGAATCACAAATTTATTAATGAAGATCTGGAGCTAGAAAACTGATCAAAAACAAAGTTATAAAAATAAATAGATATGTGTATTTTAATACTGTAAAAAAGTATGCTTGTATTTTTTTCAGTCTCCTTTTGCAAGTGCTGACTTGAATGACAAAGATGATAAAAACAATGACCCCATGCCCAACACCAAGGTCCCAGGAAATAGGTCAGTCCAGTATCATAGGCAGTAAAACTGTCAAAGATAGAATTGTATTTATGAGATATTTCATTCCAAAAAAAATATTTTCTTTAGAAAATTGTCATAAAAATCATGTACATTTGCTTGATTTGTAAATAATTCATTTCTGTAATTTAATGCCAGCGTGAGGAGAGGTAATGTATACATGTCACGAAGGCACCATTGTTTAATGTTAAATCTGTAAAAATAAAAGTACATAAGCATGCTGAATCATGGATGGTCATGTTTTGTAAAGTTGTGCATGGTCATGGAGATTATCTTGTTCATAAAAGTACCGGTAATGCTTCTTATTATTTTATGTCAAACATCAGATTTTATCAGCATTATTTCCTGGATTTATATTTGATATATTTAGATAAACTATAAATGTTACCCAATTAAATTGTTTATTTATCTTTAAGTGCTTCCCGTTAAATTGTTTATTTATGTCTAGTTCTGCTTTGGATGTTTTGAAATAAGCATGCTTTGTTATCCTTATGCTATTTATTTTATTATTCTCTTGACTGATTTTGTTTTTTTTCACTTTAAAAGAGAAATTCTTAAATATCTGTCAATGCTGCATTTGTTTTAGCATGTTTGGTGTACAATACATGTGTGTTCTTCAAATTTAAAAGAGATATCACCTTTTAATGAACAAAGTTACAGTTGACTGTTGATTATATGGAATCCCTAGGTATAAAGAAAATAATTGAATTTTCATAGAAGTGCAAAGTACCTGAACTTGTTTTAATTGTATGCAACAAATTACAGATATAATAGCCTTACAGTGTCAACTGTATACATGTTTATGTTAAACTTTTTTATTATTTAATTAATATCACTGATGTTTTCAGTCATGGAACTCGCTGTGCAGGAGAGATTGCAGCAGAAGCCAACAATAATGTTTGCAGTGTAGGTGTGGCTTATAATGCCAAAGTAGGAGGTAAGCTTTCATTCAGAGTATAATTATTTACTTGTATGTGTTGTTGAAAAAATGAAAGATAAATTTATTTCCCAAAGCCAAGAGCTCTTATTTGCTGTCATTGATTTTAATTTGAACCCTTGATTTAGCAAATCTTAAAACAATTCAATTGAAATGAAGAATTGGAAATCATCGTCATTTTTAACCGAGTTTTATGTAGGAAAAATCTGGTTATTGAAATGGTGAAAATGGTGGGAGGGCGGCTTCCAAAAGGGTACTTCATTTGTCCGGGTAACTCCTCCTACAGTTTTCAAGATAAGAACTTTTTTATTTTGCAGATTTATTGTACATATATCAGAGATGTGCATATTACCTGGATTTTGATTTTTGTTCATTTATGGGGGAAATGCCATTTGTTGAACATAGTCATTTCTGTGCAAAATATCCCAATAGGATACATTGAATTTTTTGGATGTCACCTACAGTTTTCAGAAAAGAAAATTTTTACAATAGAGGACATTAACATTTACAAGATTTATTTTCCTTGTGGGATCAATCTAGGGTCAACAGGCGTAGGGTGCTGTTTTCTCTCTGTGACTTTACCAACTTTATGGGGCAGTATCTGATAAGTAAAATCTATATGTGTATGTTTATTTTTTTCTTTGTTGCCCCATACTTCGGCCAATAAAGGTATGTTATAAAATTCTCAAAAGACACCTAAATATTTAAAATTTTTACAGGTAAGTCACAAAGGATATGGTGAAAAAATGGGTATTTCATGACAAAGGGAAATAACTCTTGCAAATGGAAAATTTGTCTATTGATATGTGAAACACCAGTTCTGTTCACACAAAGAAAACCTGGTTTGCTGTCTGACAGCTTTCCACTTTCTTAAAGAAATTTTCTTAACAACATCTAGCTCTACTCGACTCTTATTTTGGAAAGAACAAAAAATGAATACCCGGTAGTTGGTTTTTTCCTATAAATTTGCTTTGCATGTTCCAGGTATACGTATGTTGGATGGAGCAGTTTATGATACAATAGAGGCTAAGGCAGTCAACTTTAAAAACCAGTTTATTGATGTAATGAGTGCTTCCTGGGGGCCGAGGGATAATGGACGGACCCTAGAGGGGCCAGGCCCTGCGACCTTGGACGCTCTGGTGGCGGGAGTCAACAAGGTAAAAAATAAACAAATTAACTGAGCACTTTAAGTCAGATAAGCTTTCATTTGTGAACGTGAGGTAAGTTATTTTAACAGATTAAAGTGCAAAATTCCTTGGAATCATTAAAATGAAAAACATTTTGTACTTTACTGTCCTGTGTATGACAATCTTCAATTTCAATATTGTGATATTTTTGATGATAAATTATACTGTGGTACTGATCCCATTAAAGAAATTGTTAACCCATGTGATTATAATACTACAAAACGTTTATGTATCTACTTAGTTAAATGCTTTATGCAGTGGAAACAATCCCAAGGTCTATAAGGAACTGTGTAAAATTGAATTGCATGCAATTATGTTATTATATTCTTCTCTTTTTTTCTGTTATCTGTCATTTGATTTCTTATTTTGACTGTATGCCAACATGGTGATGTCAATAAACTAAATTGAATTTAAAATTGTTTGGTTAAATGTCATGTAAATGCTTTTCAGCAAAATTGAAAATAAAAGAATCACTTGATTAACTAGGGAATTTTCTGAAAGTTTTGCACCAAATTGGAGCTTTTATGTTTATGATGAAAACTTAAACCAAACCCTGTATAAAATATAATGCATATTAATTACAGCCATATTTTCCCATGAGTTTCCAAAACGTTCACATATCATCAATTTTATTGACATTTATGGGGTGATTATTTTTATACTCAAATTCAGGGTCGAAATGGCAAGGGCACTATTTATGTGTGGGCAACAGGAAATGGTGGTGTCCATGACGATGATTGTGGTTGTGATGGTTACGTATCCTCACCTTACACTTTATCTGTGGGCAGCGTCACAGATCGAGGTCAGGCGCCTTACTTTGATGAAAAGTGTGCATCAACTATGACAGTGGTTCCAAGCGGGGGAGAGATCAGAGCTGGGGAATTCAATGGAAAACCAAAAATTAAAGTGGTCAGTACAAATATCACAGAGCTGTGATATGACAGGATAGTGTGATATTAGAAGTGTATCTATTGGTATATGTTCAGGACATATAAACAAAAGATGTTACATATTTTGTTGATCTCAAGATTCAGTCTCTGCAAAGATAACAGATAAAAATCCACGTGAGCTATAATATTTTACTTATTTGCTTTCCACAAACAAGACAAATACACCAGGAAACACTTCAAAGAAAGATAACTCCCAAGAATCTTTTCACCTCTTTTGTGGAAAACAGACCCACCACAAACAAACAAACCCCCAAACAGTTTCTATTATTTAGAGGCTGTTAAAAATATTTAAAATTTCTACCTAATAGAGATGTGAATTAATTCTAAGTGATTAATTACCATTGTAGGTGACCACAGACATAAATGGGGGCTGTATCCTAGGATTTGAGGGGACATCTGCTGCAGCTCCCCTGGCTGCTGCTTGTACGGCCCTGGCCCTAGAGGCAAAGTAAGAATCTCTAGTCTGAGAAAATTTCTTAACATAAAAACCAACTCATTATCGATACACTATTTTTAAAATGAAAAAGCTTTAGGGATAGATGATGTATAAATTTGATCTAAGGTTAGGTTTTTTGATAAATGGTATTCAGATATTTTAATGAGTGAACAAATTTTAAGTTACTTTTTGATAATGCTCTTTCTTATTTTCTGTTAAACAATAAAGTAATGGTACATCAACCCACATATCTTAAATCATATGTTTGTTTCACAGCCCTGATTTAACATGGAGAGATATGCAGCACATTGTTGTGGAAACTTCCAAAATCCCATCTGTGGACCACTCTTGGATTATCAATGGGGCAGGGAAACATGTTAGCCACTCATTTGGGTTTGGTGTTATGGACTGTGGGGCCATGGTGAATGCTGCCTTAAATTGGCAGACTGTTCCCGAACTCAAGATCCAAAAGTCACAGGTGTATGAGATTAATAGGTGGGTATCTTATTTGTCATTGTTTTATTTATTATTTTAATCTAATTTTAAAAATATTAAGAGGTGAATTCCCAGCTACTCTATTAGCATATGAATCCATACAAAAATTAATAGTTATTGATGAAGTCCTTAAAATATATTATGATACAATTAACACTTGCTTCATTCAGCCTCATGAAACAAAAAATTTCAATAAATATTTCTTGCTATTTACAACTGAATTATATTTTTTTCTGTGTAGGCCGATTCCCACCAGAGACTGTGTAAGTAGGACAGTACAGTACGTCCCTGAGGGATCTCCCTTAATTCAACTGGAGCACGTCCAGCTGTACATCAAATTACAGCACACTCGCCGTGGTGATGTCCAAATTTACTTGACCTCCCCAAGCAAAACTGAGTCAGAAATGCTATCCACCAGGATGAACGATGAATCAAAGGCTGGCATTGACTTTACCTTTATGACGGTTCACAACTGGGGGGAGAACCCATCAGGAAACTGGGAGGTTAAAGTGTGTGATAATCGGAAATCAACCTCTGAAAATACAGGAAAACTTGAGAAGTATGTTGAATGGATATTTGGGAAACTGATACATATGATAGAAATTCAATGAAGTAAAGAACTACAAAATAAAATAACAGTTTTATAAAGAAATCTGTATGTATTTGATTGTTAAACATTTTATAAAATACTTTAGTACTTGTACCAAAAATAAAAAAAAATACAGTAAAAAAAATATCAGATCAGAAAAGTAGCTTATTATGGACTCAAATGATTGTCTCAAAGTAGAACAAGGAAATAAAATGTATGCTGCTTAAAACAAATTATGGATGCAAGTAAAAAAAAAAATATATAAATGTATTTCTAGTGGTCTTTGGAGGGTAGCTTTGAATGGGTTTTATTTACTTCTGTAAATGACAGGAAATGAGAGAAAAATACTTACAGGAACCCAATATTTAATTTTCAGATTCCAAGTCATCTATTATGGAACCACAGAGAGACCAGCAACTCGTAGTACAGGTAACCAACAATCTCACAAGCTGCCCCTGGCAACAGTAGAGGAGATCGAGAAGTCCGAATTACTGAAATCACGGAACTTAAAGCTCAAAAGAAACACTGGAGACAAAAAGAAAAAGTCATACCCAGAACAGAATGTCAATGTTGAGAAAGAGAGGGCTTTTGGAAATGATTTTGGGGAACAGAAGCTTGATGATCAACTGGAAGACAGAGAGTTTGAGAATCAGAAAGAGAGAAAGAGTGAGCTTTATAAGAAGGTTCTGGAAGATCTGGAAGACATGTTGGAAGATAGAGGTGAGGGAGACGATGATCACTACAGGGAGGAAAAACATGGGAGGGACAAAACTCAGGAATTATTGGATGAAATTGACCGAATTCTTAAAAATAATGGGTAACAAGGAAAGTCTTTTGAACTAGCCCTGAGTAGGAGTGGTCCATGTCAGTTTTAATCCATACAAAAAGAAAAGGTGGTCTAATAAATTAATTTTTTTTTCAGGAGTTTAGATTTTATTTTCAATTAAAAATCCAGATCTAAGAGAACCAATCTAATTCAAAAATCTGTATCATTAATTATTAAGGGGTTGAGAAAGCAAATAGGGTAAGCAAAAGAAAAACAAGATAGCTGACATGTTAGAGAAGTAAGCAAATGCAATTATAAGGAAAATTAGTTTATTGTAAAAATTATTTGAAATATTTGTCCTGACTGACCTCTTCTACTCTCGTTGTTGAAGGCTATATTTAGCTCTTATTGATGGGGTACATTTTTGAAAAAGCAATACTAATTTCTGAGAATATACTCTGACATGGGAACTGGTTTTCTGCTTGACAAAACACTCAATTCTACGCAGCTTTACTGAACAAGTTATTCTCGAGGCCCATCTCTGTTCATTTCCTGTAAGTTCTTATACTAATTATTTGTATGAGGAATTTTGAATCTCAATTATAGACTTCTCTTATGAAGCCAAAGATTTATTCTGTTATAACTGTACAATTTAATTCATTATTTCACAATATCCTTTGTTTTAATATACAATCACTTGTAAGGAAAGAAATTGCATTTTAAAGACTGGGTACTATAAGTGTTGATGGATTTTTTTTCTTCACAAATTCACTCATGAATTGTTTTTGCTTTTGAAGTCTACAGAAAAATTTATGTCAACTTGCTTCCTCTTAAAAATTTTTTTGGTAAATTATTTTTCAAATTTTTATTTTTTGCAGAATTAAAATTTATGTATTAAAAAACGACATTTGTTGATAATACAGTTTGGTAGTTTTATTTCTTGAAATCCTGTTATATTGTACTTGAATCAATCTGATATCCATTTATTTTGAAGTATTTATTTTTATATAAATACAATTTACATACTGAAGTCCAAATTTTTTGATTACTTTGTTAAAATATTTTTTGAAATCCTGTTATTTTGTACATCCCACCCTCTGAAATCCATTTTTTTTATTCATTTTAATTTTTTTCAATTTTGTAAAAATGTAATTTACATTATTGAAATCCAAATTTGTTGATGATATTGTTACTTATATTTCCTGAAATCCCTTTTTATTTGCTTATACCCTCTGAAATCCTTTACTTTTATAAAAGATTTTTGTGTAAAGAAATTGTTACTGGTATTTAAAAAATCAAGAGAACAAATTTCTACCATCCTTTCCAATGAAGAGTGTATTGAGTGAGAGCAATTTAGAACATAAAAAAACTTACTATATTTTTTTGAATATACATATATTTACAGATATTTATTTCTTGTTGTTATATATATATATTTTTTGTTAATTCCTTGATTGAAATTTCATCTTTGTTAAGAGTCTGTTATCTAATTTTGCAATATTTGTGAATAAGAATAAAAGAAGTGTCTATCACCAATAAATTTTTCCGGGTCTCAGAAATACTTGTACTTTGTTTTTATCTTAAGTCACTTCAGTCATTTGAATAATGGAAAAGGTAAAGTAAATAAAAGTGATCAATCTCATAAATCCTGTAAACAATACAAATCGTGAACAATCATGCATCCCTGGAATCACATGCCTAGGAGGAGAAAGCATCCCTCGTCAACCTGTCCCATCCATCTGAGTTGATCAGCTAAACGGAGTAATCTGTATTCAAAATTAGCGTAGAAACAATGACCTAACAGTTGTTACAAAACTTTTTCAAACAAAGCATGATCCAATGATAGGTTGTATTTGTAACTTAGGTCATTATACCAACCATAGAATTTGCAAGGTGCTGATTAAATGAGATTTTTGAAAACATTGTAATATCAACTTATTTGTCAGTGGCCTGTATCTGTTAAAATTGATCTTTAGAACATGCTCTTGCATACCAAATTAGTTGAGAGAATAGCACCATTTGCAGGTATGTATTGCAGCATAAATATGGAAAAGTGACAATGGAAAAGTTCAAGCCATCACTATTGTCATAGAGATAAGTTGTTACAGTGCAGCTGTATCACGTTTGTCATAGAGTTTAATTGTAACAGTGTAGCTAGCCATTTATGTCTATAGTCAGTAAAATATACAAAAATGAAACATGTGGCAGAATCTGAGGTGTCTTTTATTTGGCTAACGGAGATCTATCAAATCAACATATGAACAGTTGGTGTAAGGAACATGGTCTCAATCCTGTTACAACATCATTATTTATAACCATTTTAACTTGGTTTTTATACATGTATTTGAACTACCTGAAAGCAGTAAAGTGTCATGCAAAAATGATAAAACATTGTACTAACATACTACATGTCAGGGGCTTTAGTGAAATTAAAAAGACCACAGCAAGAGTTTTCTTCTTTTCATTTAAAAATGTTTTTGAATAAATTTTGCTTCATAAAAAACACAGGCCTTCTAGCAAAGGAGCACAAATAGCACCCATGGCAACTCCAACAGATTGTTGGAAGACTCGGTCTCCAAAAACTTCCAAAAACAGACTGATTTTTAACAAAGTAACTTCGCAGATAACCAATCATTTCCGACTGACATTCTTATTGGAGAACAATTTTTCTTTCATTAAAAAAAAATGTAATCAACTGATTGCAAAGAATGGTTGTATTATAAAGGGTTGGAAAGTCATAGTCATGGAAAGATATGCTACTTATTTTGAAAAGTTTTGAGATTTTAAATTTTCCAAAAAGTTTTTAGGAATTTTTGAAATCCATATTTGATTTATAACACTTCTTGAATATGTTGTAGCACAGTTTGTCTGAAGGTTTTCCTTCAAAGAACTTAATATTTTTGGGAAGAGGAGGCTGCTTCGTAGCTCATTTACTGTATCCTGAAATGTATCTTTGTATTTTTTGTGAAGCTTTAGAATCCAGTATCGGTAAATCAAACTCCCTTCCATTGACAAGAATGTTAAAAGTATTTAAAACTGAAACTTGAATTTGAAGAATTTCATCCTTTGAAAGGAAACTATGAGGATAAGTAGGATTGCCAGATGTGAAATTAAAGTCAAGTTTATCTACTAGTTAAAGTTTCATTTAAAAATAATATTAAATGACATATCCTGACTTATATGTATGACCACGAACCCCTAAAAAATGATTAAGAAAAGGAGGTGAAAGTAATATTTCAAGGTAGTTTGATCCTCACATTCTGAAAATCAACAGTTAAATAATTAAAAATGCTCACACATATATATCCGAATTCACAGAGTGTATTTACCCATCGCATTCCTTCAATGTACATCATTACAGTCAATCATATTATATGGGGAAAATTATAAAATCTCAAATATATTTTCAGGAAACGCGAATAAAAGCACCAGGTATGCATCTTCAGTCTAATAGAAAGTTGATCAACACATTTATAAAAGGGTAGAAAATTTTAAGTATTCAGGCCAGGCATTCGGAGAAATTTACATGATTTTTTAAATACTTATACGATAATTTTGCTACATTTAATTCAATTACAATATATCGTGTAAAAAGTTTGTGCTATCATTGCAAGACATCACAGATCACTTCTAGTTTCATACCATGCTAATAAGCACTGGTATCTAAAGCTAGATTAAAGTAGATTCGATTTCTCTAGATCTTAAAATGTATTTATTTTTGTACCTTTATGGGGTACAAATATCAACTTTTTACAAGAACGTTTCAAAGACTTCAATGAACCATAAATCAAATTGAGATATACACGTATTAAATGATGATTGTTGTACGAAAATATTTCAATTTCAAACTTCATTTTGAGACATTTTTAATTAAATAAAGTCATAATAATTATAAGAGTTATGGTTCCTGGCTGAGGAGCGGATTATTTCTCTTATAATCATTCAGTTTTTATAAACTATAAGCCGTCTCATCGTGACATGGATTCAGTTTCTGCAGACGGCTGCAAACATCCTACTTATTTCGTTAAGTAGAAAAAATGCGTTCTTGTGAAAAAAAAATTACCGCACTCAAACTATATTTAACTTAAGAAAGAGCTTAATTAACTACTTCAAATTGTTTCTAAATCGCTTTTGCAATACACCTTGTCAAGTCAAAGCTACCAATGTGTACAGTTTTGATAAAGAGAGGCTGATACTAGGTGAATTGTTTTAATTAGCCGCAAAGAAAGTCATGCAGCTGAGCCTTGTTTGAAGAAATAAAGCAGTGTCACACTTATAAAGTTCATATAAGGCTTGGACATAAGTTGTCTGGAACACATATGATTAGTGCATTCGACCTCGGATATGGTTTTAATTTTCTAATTAGCAAAGCAAATTGACGTCAGAATATGTTTTTTTTTTCCCCCAAGTTAATATGATTTGTTAATTCTTTTAACATCCGGCCTACAGGAATTCGATTCATTGTTAGTGAAACAAAACTTAAAAGGTACATTTCAGGTCAGAGGAAAAGAATTTGGTGCGGTTTCTGAATTATCTGAATATTTTACAAAAACACACCAAGACACTGAAATCCTATCTGGGGCAAACATATGTTGTCGTCACAGTTGACACCCATTAATTCAAATTTTGTACTATAGAAACTTAGACAAGGTAACGGAACAATCTAGTTGTTTTGATTGTTACGTTATATTGTGCATTAAGAATCTCATTGGATATTACAAACTGCGTTTTAAGGATTTTATTCTGCATGTACTAATGTCCGCTGTGCCTTTCTGTGTATCTGTCTCTCTATACTCTATGTGAAATAAGGATGCAAGTGTCTCTTCTCTTCAAAAATCTACAAAGTCCAATATAAAATGAGTGACAAAATTTTTTTTTTTTGTCTATTTCAATAAAAAAATTCTTTAATATCTTTAAAAAAAATTGTAAGCTTAAAGTTCTAAACTTGTTTTTTTTTTAATTATGTAACTACTTGATAAATGAGACATTGAATTTTGTTCAGGATCTCCCCCCTCTATTTCACGATTTTCCACAAAAAATGTATACATGTATATTTCATAAAATATAATCAGTTAATACAGGCAATGTCACATCTGTGAAGGATATAGAACCTTTCTGATACGTTAGTCCACGAAGAAGACTGTTTTTGAACAGTTTTGTAAATTGTCCCAGCTTTATGCTGTTATATAGTCCTACTTTAAAACAATTTTGATATCAAAATTAAAAAATAAGTTCATTATGAAGACGAACACCATATTATGTCAGAAAACCAAGCAGAACATTCTCCAAGATAGGGAAATTCCTCTGGCAATTTCAGACACTAAACTTGTTCTCCACATTCGTGTTGCCCGTATTATAATAGCTTTATAATGATTTGAGAAACTATATAGGAACCTATCTCAGAAATCAAATTAGTAATGCCCTATCATAGTGCTTATTTCAGGATAACATACGCTCATTTCAATATCCATTTCAGACACATTTACAGAAAGTTAAACCGGGTTTTCAATTTCTAAATATACATGACTGTAAACGTTAGAAATAACTGATACTGAGCATTGAATTATTCATTTCAGGTCAAAACAATCGTTGCTTTTTGTGAAAATATAATTGACACAAAAACACGGGCTTGCAACAATGGTTGAATCTTAGAAGTGATCATTGTGTCACTGACTGATTTTGGATTGATAAAAAAAGTACAATAGAGTATTTATGGAAAATTAAATTGCATTTTACTCTTCATGTTTCAAGATATTATGACGAGTAAATAACAATATAAAGTGATGAAAATATTATTTATAAAATAACGAATAACATAAAAGAAGGTTTAGTTTTCTCTATATCTAAGAAATATAATTGCTAGGCAATGTGAA